AATAAATATTAAAATATACATAAAAATTAGTTGAAAAGTAAATTTTGTAAATGATGTATTACAACGTAATTAGTTAGATACCATTATACATACAAAATTTATTACAATTTAATTGGTTAGATATTATCTGATACATGAAAAGCATATCAGATTCGACAAATCGTAAATCTTTTCATAAGAGTGATATAATCAAATATCAATTCTTTAAAAGCGATGTTCATCTAATTTACCATTGAATTCACATACCACCTGGAAGTCTAGTCATTCACATATATTACTTTTAGGTTTAAATTAAATTTAAATCCTCATGTAAAAGTGGTATATTTAAATACAAATTCTTTAATAATGATGTTCACCTAGTTATTTATCCGTATCATTTTTACGTCTAAATTAGACTTAAATTTTGCTGTAGAAGTCACATGTCCAAAGACCATATTTTTAAAAGTGATGCGCATCTACTTTCACCCTTAACCAACATTTTTAAGCTAAATTTAATCACGTGCAATTTGCTAATTTCAAATTGAAAATCTCGTTCATTTAATGATTTGAATTTTCAATTTAAGCTGTAATGTGACTTTATATAAGAGTTTTTAGCTGTAATAAAAAAAATTAGATTTGACTTTTTATAAAAATTTTAACTGTAATAAAACTAAAATTAAAAATTTAAATCGGTCAAAATGTACGATGCCACAAATTATTTAGGGGCTGTTCGGCAGTCTTATTTTTGAGTTAAAAACTAAAAAAAAAGCAACTCGAGTTACAATTTTATTCGAGTTCATGTTCTTTTAAGTTTGAACTCGAGTTTGGGACTAAAACTCGAGTTCAAGTTTCCCTTTCAACTCGAGTTCAGAAACTCGAACTCAAATTAATGAACAACATTTTTTCTATTTTTAAAAATGCTATAACTTTTTCGTTTTAATTCTGATTGAGATGATTTTTTTTATGCGTTGACAACGAAAAGACGTATAAAACCCCACACATATACCCTATTAAAATTTTTCATCAACATTGAGTTTTTATTAAAATACTATATAAATATAAATTCAAATTTTAACTCATTCAAATACAAACTCAAAAAGATTCTTATCTCAAACCATAACTCAAATATACACAATCAAACACAAACTTAAATTACAACTTCAACTCAAATTTTATAACTCAAACTCAATTTAAAATCTATACTCAAATCACTTAACTCAAAAAAAATAAAAGAATAACCCCTTACGCATCGAAAGAAGGAAAGTCCAAGCTGGAAATAGCACAATGAAAATATATTATTCCCCCATCATCCCACCCACCCCGTTCACTTCGCTGATTCGAGTTTGTAATTTGAGTTGAGATGTGATTTTGTGTGAGAGTTTTTTATTGTAGTAAAAAAATTAAATGTGACTGTTTCTGAGAACTTTTTACTATAATAAAACTCAAATTCTAAACTCAAATCGACAAAATGAACGGCCTTATATTCTCACCAATATTGCAAATATTCAAAGTAATCCATATTTTATTCAATTTTCTCACTCTCTCTCTCTATCTCTTTGGCTCTCTCTCTCCCTTCCCATAATCCACAACAATCCAAAACCTGCTTCGTACCAAAACCAAAGGCCGTGGTGGCTGCTTTTCTTCTTCTTCTAGCCCAGCATAACCAAAAAAAAAAAAGAAAAAGAAAAAATCAAAATTAGAAAAAATAAAGAAAAAGAAAAAGAAAAGGAAAAACCAAAAAGGTTTGAACAAGTTTCTCATTTTTCTGGAAATTTTGAGAGACATTCAATCGGAAGACCAACACGAAGAACCGAAGAAAGAGTTTGAACATGTTTCTCATTTTTCGCCTTCCGATTTCCATGTTTTGATTGAGTCGGATCTGAGGTTTCATTCTTTTTGGGTGAAGAAATCTTAGCATTTGAGCTTTTTGAGGTTTTTTTCTGCTAATTTCTATGCTTCCTTGATCAAAATTTGAGGTTGTGATGAAACTGATTCGTTGTGTCATTAATTAGCCGCCACTTTTTGGCTTTCTAGATCTTACGGTGATCTCAGAATCGACGAATCTAAGAGGAATTCGGATCAGATTTGGTTTTGGATCAGAAAAATTTTGTCCACCATTGTTGGAGCTCGGAGTTTGTAATGGATTACGACGATTTCCGCACGATATTGGACAGCTAGGGAGTGGACGTGTGGACGTTCATCGACACGACGATCGCAGTCGCGTCCATGGATTACGGCGGCGAGCTGAGGCAGCAGAGAGACGGGATCGTCGAGCGGCTCTATGCGGGGAGCTCTTCATCCTCGGCTTCCGATCATCATCGTCCTCGCCATTAACTGAGAAGCGAAGACCGCCGGCGAGAAGGAGAGAGTCTCGCCGTCGATGCCGCAGTCGATCGATAGAGAAAACAACGATAACGACGGCGAGGGGCTAGATCCGTACGGAGGCTTGTTGGACGATGAGCAGAAGAAGATTCTAGAAATCAAGGAGCAACTTGAAGATTCTGACCAGGTCCTACTTCTACTCCTTATTTTTATTCTTTTTCTCTTCTGATTTAATTAATTAATTCCTTTTCGTTTTGGATTTTACGTTTTGAATTTCTTTGGCAGTCTGAAGGTACATTGGTGGAGTTACTTCAGAGTCTTGCTAATATGGATATAACATTCTAAGCTTTCAAGGTAATTTCGTTTTATCGTCTTGTATTTTTTTTATTGTAAATTTTTTCACATATGGAATTGTGATTTGTAGGAAACGGATATTGGGAGACTTGTGAATCGGTTGAGGCAGCATTCGTCGAGCGAAGTCAAGCGATTGGTGAAGCAAGTTCTCAGGTTTTTGAATGATCTCAACTTGTTGAAAGATGAAAGTTTCTCTTTAGTTGTTTCTGATAACGAATTGATTAAAGAGTTGTTTGTTTCTCAGGAAATGGAAGGATACCGTGGATGAATGGGTGAAACTGAATCAACCTGGAGAACATGCATCAAATTCTCTCATGGGTACCATTCAAAAAATTCTTCCTATTTAAGGTTCTCCTTTGGGGGAAAAAAGTTGAAAGATTGAGAGTTTCTGGCCTTGATATGAGATTTTTGTATAAGTTCTAATTTGGTATACTGATTTGTTGCAGATGGAGATTCACCCCAACAGAAAATTCCCCAAAATGGTCATGACCAGGTTGGAAAAAAAAATCAAAATTCTTAGCTGAATTGTTTTCTTTTTTTTTTTTCTCTAGCACAACTTTTGAGAAAATCTGAGTTCTTTTCTACAATTAGCATGCTAAATATTCAATGTGCTTGCTTTTCTTCTCAGGTTCCTAATTTTGCATACTCTCTAAATCCACACAGTGAGTACTTAGAATCAGTTTCCTTTCTTTCTCTGACACTTTTACTTGTTTTGCAATTTAACCAATCTGGGCTTCTTTCTTTGTTTGAATTTTTGAAATTATTCTTGTTGCCAATACAGATGGGAGTTCTGGGTCAGACAAGAACAATTCAGAACTAGAGCGGAAGCCCAAAGCAATTCCTTCTCGGAGAGAAGCTCTGCCGAAACCAACGACTCCATCAGTCCCACAGTCCGCTCACTCAACTCCCCAAAATGTATGGATTCTAAATTAGAGTCCCCTAACTCTATGGTTGGATGCAGGAAATTGGAGGAAGAAAATATAAAAATTTGAGGCTTATATAGCTTCCAAAAACATAAAGAAAGAAACCCAACTCAACTGTGCCCAATTACTTTCTTTACCGATCTATTCTATTAAAAGTCTTTCTTCCTTATATGCCTTCCCGAAGGTTGTGAACTGAACTTTCGGTGGAAGCAGGAAGTGCGATAAAGATTCTATTTCTTCCGCTGAGGTGAGGAGCTCCTCTATTCCTATTCTATTTCGGGGATTTTAATAGTATTCCTATTCTTATGATTAGATCATCGACCACGGGCAAGAAAAAAAGGAAGAACAACCGCTACAGCTTCGCTTCCTTACTTATTTGGTTACTTTATAGTTGGAATAAGGAACATAAGGTGCAAGAAACCTTAGCCTAGTTGAGTAGAGGTGTAAGTCCCCCCCTCAGAACAATGTGAAGTTCTTTTAAGTGGAAAGTGGCAGTAAATAATCAACTTTGATAATATTATGAGTTAACTTTGTTGACACTTTTTGCAGAGATAGAGGAAACAAAGGGAGGGCAGCTTTGACGCGGAAAAGCTGGCTTCGGCATGAAAACGGCTTCAAGAAAGCCGTTTTCCAGTTTACACTAATTTCTTGTTATTTAAGCTATGTTACGTTTGGACTTGTACTGATTGTTGGTATTTTTTTTGCTTTGTGCTTTGTTTTTGAAGCTAAAAAGCAAATAACTATCCAAGTGATGGACATCCAGGAGATCCCAAAACCAAAGGCAAAAAGTGCTTTCTTCCCTAAGAATAAGGGTGGAGGAGATGGTTCTCTGGGAAGACACTGGTGAATGGTGATTCTGATTATTTTTTTCAAAATTTGGAGCAGAAAAGAAGGCTTTTTTGGGTCTCTGTAAAAGGGCATTTGGAAAAAGACGTTTGGTTCATGAATTAGAATCATGTGATTAGAATTATTTTTGATTTACGTGTATTTTTTGTGAGAGAAAATACTGTAATGAACTATGAACTATGATTCAAATCATGATTTGAATCCTCCAATCAAACGTCCTCGAAAAAACTCAAACTCGTTAAATCCTTTTGTAGTTGACATTTTTTTAGCCAAAAAAAAGGGACTCTTGTTTTTGCCCCCCTTTTTTTGTTTTTAGTTTTTTTTAAGAAGGAAATACGAAGGGCATGTTCTTTTGTCTAAAAAACTCAAAAAAAGACAACTCAAGTTTCAACTTTATTCAAATTCACGTTATTTTAAGTTTCAATTTTATTCAATTTTTCTCAACTTTGTTTAAATTCTAACTTTAAGTCAAGTTATAATTCAAATTCAACTCAAAAACTACACCTAAAAGAACAACCCCGAAATTTGCTCAATTCTACTTCAACATGTACATATGTGGACTAATGAATTGGAAATATGAGGGCATATGTGTCTTTCGGTACCTTTGGGGGTAATTTAGGAAATGAAAAGAATTTCGCATTTCGGATTCGGATAAGAGTCAAGACAAACAAGACGTTCGGTTTGTAGGGTTGTGTAAGTTTTGGGAAGAAGAAGAGAGAGAAAGAAAGATGGTAGAGTGAGTAAACTACCGAAGGGCTTCACCCCCAAGGCGGCGACGACCTCTTCGTTCACCAGTCCTCGATCTGAACCGACGGCTTTCGCAGCCTCGCCGACGGCGAGACCGTCGAGTTTGATCGAGTCAGATCCCAGCGGCCGCACCAAGGCCGTCGACGTCACCGGCCCTGACGAGGCTACCGTTCAAGATCCTGCAGCGGTGGAGGCGGCTCCAGCGGAGGAGGCGGGAGAGGAGGCTCCCGCGGTGGTGGAAGTGGCGCCAGAAGGGCTTCGGCTTCATAACCCCCAACGCTGGTGATTTCATAACCCCCAACGTTAGTGTACTTATCTGTAGCTTCTTTTTTGAAATGTTCACAGAGCCGGATTTTAAAGCACGCTGGTGATTTGGCTGCTGCCGCTGCAGCATTAGCAGATGAAGCTAGATGTATGGATCTTGCAGATCGCTACATAAACAATGAATGTGTTAAGCGTATGCTTCAGGCTGATCAGGTACTGAAGCCGTCTTTTTTCATCATTGATCTTGTTGTTGTTGTGGGGGTTTTTTTTTCTTTTTTTTTTTTCCCTTGTGGCTTCTAAACGTGTCATATGTGTCACATTGTGTTTCACTATCTCTCTTTTCTGTCCTTTAGGAGATAAATTGATTTCTAAAAAACTATTTGATTTTGCAGGTTGCTCTAGGTGAAAAAACTGCAGTGTTGTTCACCAACGACATGCAGTGCATGTGGTGTCTCTACTTACCTGCCGGAATTATTTATTTGTCAATGCTGGTGTTTTGTTAGCCTGCTTTTAAGTATTTCTGTATATTCTACTGAAGGTATGAGCTAGCGTCTGGTGAAAGTTACCAGTGTTCTCAAAAACGTCATGGCTATAAAGAATTACTTAGACAATCAATGGAACATTCAAACTAACAAATCATATTAAATGAAAGTTTGTCATCTTTTGCACTGATTCCTTTAGTGGTATAGGTTTTCATTCACTGGCTTATGGTTATTGGTACTGTACAGGATGGCCTATTTGCATGAAGGCTTGGAACCCAAAGTGGTGCACAGGGATGTTAAATCAAGTAATATTCTTCTGGATAGAAAGTGGAACGCAAAAGTATCAGATTTTGGATTGGCGAAGCTATTGGGGCCCGAGTCAAGCTATGTGACTACAGTAATGGGAACATTTGGGTTCGTTAATCCTCAAACAGCTGAAACAAATTTGGATAAGTTTAAAGTTTGTCAGATTCAGGTATCTGCCCTCTCCATTTTATATATATATTTTTTTAATTTTTTGAATTCTTTGGACGCTTTGGACTTATTCTTCTTCTTCTTTTATTCTGCTGGAGTTGTTGTTTTTGGTGCTCAGAATTTTAGTTTACAAGGAAAAGAAAGGAATTTGTATTCTTCTTCTTCTTCTTCTCCGCCCTATTATTCTCTATGGTCTCTCGTCAGCTCTCTGTCAAATTCAACGTTGGGAAAGTCGTGTTCTTCTCATTTCTTCACCCTTCGTCAGATTCAGGTATCTGCCCTCTTCGTTTTATATATATATTTTTTAATTTTTTTAATTCTTTGGACGCTTTGGACGCCTTGCACGCTTTTAACTTCTTCTTCTTCTTCTTCTTGAGTTGTTGTTTTCCGTGCTCAGAATTTAAGTTTACAAAGGAAAGATAGGAATTTGGTTTCTTCTACTTCTTCTTCTCCGCCCTATTATTCACTCTTTCTCTCGTCAGCTCTCTGTCAAATTCGGCCTTGGGGAAGTCGTGTTCTTCTCATTAAGTCACCATTCGTCAAATTCAGGTATCTGCCCTCTCCATTTTATATTTTTTTTCTTTTTTTGGGTTCTTTGGACTGTTTGTACGCTTTGGATGCTTTGGACTTCTTCTTCTTCTTCTTCTTCTTTTCTTCTTCTGGAGTTGTTGTTTTTGGTGCTCAGAATTTTAGTTTACAAAGAAAAGATAGGAATTTGGTTTTTTTTTCTTCTTCTTCTGCGCCCTATTATTCTCTCTGGACTCTCGTCAGCTCTCTGTCAAATTCGGCCTTGGGGAAGTCATGTTCTTCTCATTTCTTCACCATTCGTCAGATTCAGGTATCTGTCCTGTCTATTTTATATTTTGTTTTTCATTTTTTGGGTTCTTTGGACGCTTTGGTCTTCTTCTTCTTCTTTTCTTCTGCTGGAGTTATTGTTTTTGGTGCTCAGAATTTTAGTTTACAATGGAAAGATAGGAATTTGGTGTTTTCTTCTTTTTCTCCGTCCTATTATTCTCTCTGGACTCTCGTCAGCTCTGTCAAATTCGGCATTGGGAAAGTCGTGTTCTTCTGATTTCCTCACGCTTCGGCAGATTTAGGTATATGCCCTCTCCATTTTATGTTTTTTTTTCATTTTTTGGATGCGTTGGACGCTTTGGACGCTTTGGATGCTTTGTTCTTCTTCTTTTTCTTTTCCACTCTGGAGTTGTTGTTGTCTTTGGTGCTCAGAATTTTACTTTACGAAGGAAATAGAGGAATTTGGTTTCTTCTTCTTCTTCTTTTCCGCCCTATTATTCTCTTTGGACTCTCGTCAGCTCTCTGTCAAATTCGGCCTTAGGGAAGTCGTTGTCTTCTCATTTCTTCACCATTTGTCACATTCAAGTATCTGCCCTCTTCACTTTATTTATTTTTTTTCATTTTTTGGTTGCTTTGGATGCTTTGGACGCTTTGGACTTGTTGTTGTTCTTCTTCTTCTTTTCTTCTTCTGGAGTTGTTGTTTTTGGTGCTCAGAATTTTAGTTTACAAAGGAAAGATAGGAATTTGATTTCTTCTTCTTCTTATTCTCCGCCCTATTATTCTCTCTGGACTCTCGTCAGCTCTCTGACAAATTCGGCACTGGGGAAGTCGGGTTCTTCTCATTTCTTCACCCTTCGTCTGGTTCAGGTATCTGCCCTCTCCATTTTATATTTGTTTTTCATTTTTTAGATGCTTTGGACACTTTGGACGCTTTGGACTTCTTCTTCTTCTTTTCTTCTGGAGTTGTTGTTTTTGGTGCTCAGAATTTTTGTTTACGAAGGAAATATAGGAATTTGGTTTCTTCTTGTTTTTCTTCTCCGCCCTAGTATTCTCTCTGGACTCTTGTTAGCTCTCTGTCAAATTCGGCATTGGGGATGTCGTGTTCTTCTCATTACTTGTCCCTTCATCAGATTCAGGTATCTGCCCTCTCCATTTTATATATTTTTTTTCATTTTTTGGATGCTTTGGACACTTTTCACGCTTTGTTGTTGTTGTTGCTCTTCTTCTTCTTCTTCTTTTCTTCTTCTGGAGTTCTTGGTTATGGTGATCAAAATTTTAGTTTACAAAGGAAAGATAGGAATTTGATTTCTTCTTCTTCTTCTTCTCCACCCTATTATTCTCTCTGGACTCTCGTCAGCTCTCTGTCAAATTCGGCCTTGGGGAAGTCGTGTTCTTCTCATTTCTTCACCCCTCGTCAGATTTAGGTATCTGCCCGCTCCATTTTTTTTTTTTTTTTTCATTTTTTGGATGCTTTGGACGCTTTGGACTTCTTTTTCTTCATCTTTTCTTCTGCTGGAGTTGTTGTTTTTGGTGCTCAGAATTTTAGTTTACAATGGAAAGTTAGGAATTTGGTTTCTTCTTCTTCTTCTTCGCCCTATTATTCTCTCTGGACTCTCGTCAGCTCTCTATCAAATTCGGCCTTGGAGAAGTAGTGTTCTTCTCATTTCTTCACCCTTCGTCAGATTCAGGCATCTGCCCTCTCTATTTTATATTTTTTTTTCATTTTTTGGACGCTTTGGACGCTTTGGATGCTTTGTTCTTCTTCTTTTTCTTTTCCACTCTGGAGTTGTTGTTGTCTTTGGTGCTCAGAATTTTACTTTACGAAGGAAATATAGGAATTTGGTTTCTTCTTCTTCTTCTTCTCCGCCCTATTATTCTCTTTGGACTCTCGTCAGCTCTCTGTCAAATTCGGCCTTAGGGAAGTCGTTGTCTTCTCATTTCTTCACCATTTGTCACATTCAGGTATCTGCCCTCTTCACTTTATTTATTTATTTTCATTTTTTGGTTGCTTTGGACGCTTTGGACGCTTTGGACTTGTTGTTGTTCTTCTTCTTCTTTTCTTCTTCTCGAGTTGTTGTTTTCGGTGCTTAGAATTTTAGTTTATTAAGGAAAGATTAGAATTTGGTTTCTTCTTCTTGTTCTTTTCCGCCCTATTATTATCTCTGAACTCTCGTCATATCTTTGTCAAATTCAGCCTTGGGGAAGTCGTGTTATTCTCATTTCTTCACCCTTCGCCAGATTCAGGAATTTGCCCACACCATTTTATATTTTTTTTTTTCATATTTTGGATGCTTTGGACGCTTTGGACGCTATGAATGCTTAGGACTTCTTCTTCTTCTTTTCTTCTTCTTGGGTTGTTGTTGGTTTTGGTGCTCAAAATTTTAGTTTACAAAGGAAGGGTAGGAATTTAGTTTCTTCTTCTTCTACTTCTTCTCCGCCCTATTATTCTCTCTGGACTCTCGTAAGCTCTCGGTCAAATTCGGCCTTAGGAAAGTCGTGTTCTTCTCATTTCTTCACCCTTCGTCAGATTTCAGTATCTGCCCTCTCCATTTTATATTTATTTTCATTTTTTGGATCCTTTGGACTCCTTGGACGCTTTTGACTTCTTCTTCTTCTTCTTCTTCTCCGCCCAATTATTCTCTGGATTCTCGTGAGCTCTCCATCAAATTCGGCTTTGGGGAAGTCGTGTTCTTCTCATTTGTTCACCCTTCGTCAGATTCAGGTATCTGCAGTGTCCATTTTATATTTTTTTTTTATTTTTTTGATGCTTTGGACGCTTTGGACTTCTTCTTCTTCTTCATTTCTACTTCTAGAGTAGTTGTTTTTGGTGCTCAGAATTTTAGTTTATAAAGGAAAGATAGGAATTTAGTTTCTTCTTCTTCTTCTCCACCCAATTATTCTCTCTGGACTCTCGTGAGCTTTCCGTCAAATTCGGCCTTGGAGAAGTCGTGTTCTTCTCATTTCTTCACCCTTCGTCATATTCGGGTATCTGCCCTCTCCATTTTATATATTTTTTTCATTTTATGGATGCTTTGGACGCATTGGACTTCTTCTACTTCTTTTTTTCTTCTTCTGGGGTTGTTGTTTTCGTGCTCATAATTTTAGTTTACAAAGGAAAGATAGGAATTTAGTTTCTTCTTCTTCTTCTTCTCCGCCCTATTATTCTCTCTGGACTCTCGTAAGCTCTCTGTCAAATTCGGCCTTGGGGAAGTCGTGTTCTTCTCATTTCTTCACCCTTCGTCAGATTCCGGTATCTGCCCACTCTATTTTATATTCTTTTTCATTTTTTGGATGATTTGGACGCTTTGGACTTCTTCTTCTTCTTGTTCTTGTTGTTGTTCTTCTTCTTCTTTTCTTCTTCTGGGGGTGTTGTTTTCGTGCTCAGAATTTTAGTTTACAAAAGAAAGATAGGAATTTGGTTTCTTCTTCTTCTTCTTCGCCCTATTATTCTCTCTGGACTCTCGTCAGCTCTCTGTCAAATTCAGCGTTGGGGAAGTCTTGTTCTTCTTATTTCTTCACCCTTCGTCAGATTCAGGTATCTGCCCTCTCCATTTTATATTTTTTTTTTCATTGTTTGGTTTCTTTGGTCGCTTTGGACACTTTAGATGCTTTGGACTTCGTCTTCTTCATCTTCATCTTCTTTTCTTCTTCTGGCGTCGTTGTTTTTGGTGCTCAGAATTTTAGTTTACAAAGGAAAGATAGGAATTTGGTTTCTTCTTGTTCTTCTCCGCCCTATTATTCTCTCTGGACTCTCGTTAGCTGTCTGTCAAATTCGGCCTTGGGGAAGTCGTGTTCTTTTCTTTTCGTCACCCTTCGTCAGATTCATGTATCTACCCTCTTCATTTTATATTTTTTTTTCATTTCTTGGATGCTTTGGACGCTTTGGATGCTTTGGACTTCTTCTTCTTCTTCTTCTTCTTCTTTTCTTCTTCTGGTGTTTTTGTTGTTTTTGGTGCTTATTATTTTAGTTTACAAAGGAAAGATAGGAATTTGGTTTCTTATTCTTCTTTTCCGCCCTATTATTCTCTTTGGACTCTCGTCAGCTCTCTGTCAAATTCAGCCTTGCGGAAGTCGTGTTCTTCTCATTTCTTCACCCTTTGTCAGATTCAGGTATCTGCCCTCTCCATTTTATATTTTTTTTTCATTTTTTTGATGCTTTGGACGCTTTGGACGCTTCGGACTTCTTCTCTTTCTTTTCTTCTTCTG